GGTGGACTACCACGCGGCGAACCAGTCGTACCAGTACGGCCCCAGCAGCGCGGGCAATGGCGCTGGAGGTGGGGGTGGCATGGGCGACTACATGGCCCAGGAGGACGACTGGGACCGGGACCTGCTGTTGGACCCGGCCTGGGAGAAGCAACAGCGCAAGGTGTGCGGGACGGGTTGGGGGGAGGTTTCCGAGGGAGGCCGGCGCGCCGGGGAGGAGATCGGAGGTACCGAGAGGGAATTGCAGGGTCTGACGGGAATTGTGAGTCCTGAGAAGGAATTGGCGGGCCTGGAGAGGGCTTTGAAGTGAAAAAAAGTCGTAGAGCTTGAGGAAAGAATTGGGAGTCTCAAAAAATAATTGGTGCCTGGGTAGGGAATATGGGAATGTACAAAAAAGAATCAGGAATTCTGGTGATGGTTTGGAGGGTCTGGGCGGGGAACTAGGGGAACCGAGGAGACGGGAGAAGCTAAAATGGAATTGGGGTGTGAGGCGGGATCCAGGTCAGAGAACGGGTTGGGAGAGCTGAAGGAGAAGACGGAGCCTGGGAAGGTAATTTGAGGGCCAGGGTAGAATTGGGGATCTGGGAGCCCGAATATAGAGGGAATTCTTTGCAGTACAAAAAGTTTGAGAAAGATCAGAATTGGGGGAGCCTTAGGCTGGGGCTTCCAGTAGGGACTAAGAGTGAGAAAATCAGAAGATGGAGTTGGGGGAGCCAAAGAAGGGGTGGTGGAGTCTGAAGAGGGACGGAAGCACTAGCGAGCCTGGGAATAAGAGGAGCTAAGGGGAGAAGATCTGAAAAGACGGGCTTAGGGTGGAGATTGGCAGGGGTCGAGGGTGTCGAGAGTCTAAGGGTCTGATGGGATGCTGGCGGGAGAAGTAAGAGGCCTGTGAAGACGTTTTTGGAGGAGTGAGATTTATTTGGGGTGCTTGTGCAGAAAAAGAAGAGAAAGATGAAAGGAATTGATGGACGGAGAAGCTAAAGGGGAATTTCTGGAAGGTTGATAAGGAGGTTGGGAAGCTGAGCAAAGGGTTGAAAGAGCCTGAGGCAAAGGTGAGAATGGTGAGGGGGAAAGTGCCCTGGAATGGCGGATGATGGGAGGGAAGTTAGTTTAGGAAATGAAAGTCTCCTTAGAAAGGCGAGGAGGTGAAAATCCAGGGAGAATTCTGTATTTTTTTTTTTTTTTTTTTTTTGTTCGGGAAGGGAGTGGTAAAGGGATCCTAAAGCAGAATGCGTTTTCTGGTTTACTTTGGGGTTTGGAAGCAACTAGGGGGACTCACAGGAGTGAAAGGGAATTCAGAAGTGTAGCAGGAGGCCCAGGGAGAATGTTGGTGTGTCGGGGGCGGATAATCTAACATGGTTGAGAGAGGGAGCTCCAAGTGATCCAAGAGAGGGTTTGAAGGTGTGGGGCAAGAGCTAAAGAAAGGAGTGTGTGGGGAGGGGGTTGTACAGAAGGGTAGTGTGTGAAGAGGGTGGCAAGTACTTTAAGTTAGAAACATTGAATGTGTTAGGAAGATCTAGATTTTTCCTTTCGTATTATTACTCATCGGCCTTGCGGCCTTGTGCGGGATCCTCAGTCTCGCAGAGTAATTCTGTTGTTTGTAAAATGAGCAAAGGTATCAAAAGGGCCCTTGGTAATTCCACAAAGGTGGATGTGTGTGGTCGTGGGGCTTTGGGTGAGGGCTCTGAGGCTGAGGGAGAGGAGGTTGGTGGAGATTTTTCAGGATCATGGAGGTAGACTCTAAAGTGGAGAATGACTGAAAGTGTGTTGTGGGTGCGAGTTGGTGTTTTGGGGCTGGGCACAGGCATCCTCGTCTGGAGACTGCAGAGAAAGTGGGAGAATGCAGCTGTTCCAGGGCAGCCTGAGGTGGAGCCTGGCATAACCTTGGCTAAATTACCAGCCAACACCAGTTTGAATAATCTCATCAGTCCTGGTGGGGGGTGGTGTCCTTTGCCATTGCCTCACCTACCTCAGGATAGGCATGTTGAGTATCTGACGTTAAACGCATTTTGAGGGGAAGGGGAGATCAGTCTGGAGTCCCAACAGTAATTTATTGCTCAAGGCAGTGCAAGGTTGGAAAAGGCTGAGGGTTGCCAAGAGGCTTGGAAAATTGGGAGGGGAGCAGGGGGCCACAGCGTCATTTTTGAGAATGCCTTGTATCTGTCTTTTCCATCTCTTACGTGCTTGTGAAAGTGAGCTGTAGCCCTTTTTCTTCAATGGTGCTAGTAGGAGACCTTCCTGTTCTGTCTTCTACTACTCCCCAAGTGCCTCCTTTTGTTAGCTCTGTTCTCCTCCCTCCTAAGAGTTAGGGTGTGTCCTTCTTTGTGGTTAGTCTCCCTTGCTCTCAGGGTGAGGCTGGCACACCAAACCCTGTGCAGGAACCAGGTCTCACCAGAACCCCAAGGCCTCCAGCAAGTTTGCTGGAAAGGGTGGCTCACAGTGTCCTCTAGAACCAGCTGCTTTAGATTCTCAGTAAGGACCAGGTTCTAGTATGCCCTGCCTTATACCTGTTCTAGCAAATATTTACACTTAGCTGTTGTGTAGGGGAAAAGTATTGCTTCATCACCTCTGTGCTCTTTCCCCTGTGGGGTAGGGAGCCTTTATGACATGGGGAAGGAGTAATGGAAAGGAGCACACCGTGTTGTGCTGTTCTCTTCCAAGAGAATCTTCTACCCTCACCCTAAACAGGCCAGCTGGTCTTTTTCTATGTTGTAGTGTTCCTTTAGGGAATGACAGATTACTCTGCTTCCTCTCCAAGGCCAATCCACTGGGCATAGAAGGAGTGCTGGTCTTGTACGTACATACTCTTACCCTCTGAATTCCGCGTCCAGAACAGCTGAGCAGGGGCTGGCCCAACTGAGTGTGTGTCTCATGTCTACCTGAATGCCCTTTGCTCTGACTTTTAGGGGCCCCTAGAACTAAGGCATTATCTAAATAAGTAGGTTATGCAACAGTTTTACATGGGAGGCTTGGAATATTTTCCTGGAGGGATGAAGAAAGACTGGTTTGATCTTTGAAGGAAAAGAAAGTATGTCCTAGATTCAGGTGATCCTCCCTCCTTATCCTCCAGAGTAGCTGAGATTACAGGCATGTGAGTAACTTCTTGAGCTATAGTCCACAGTACCCCTCTCTGGTTTCTAAAAGGGCCTGAGTATCCTTGCAATGCCTTGCTTTCATGGAAGGGTGAGATCTTCTGACAGGTACCCCGTGACTTCTCATCACAACAAGAGGACAGACCTTGCTTGCTAAGCCTGTGTGTTTCTTGAAACATCTTTATTTGCAGGGCCTCAGTGTTAGACCCTGACCTTTGGCTTGTACTCTTTTAGGTGTGAGTTAATTATTTGAAAGTTCTGATTTGCTTTTCTCCAAGTAGGTCTGCCTGCCTTCCCTTCCTCCCTCCCCCTTTTCTTTCTTTCCTTCTTGCTCTCTCTCTTTCTACTTGCTCTCTCTCTCCCCCCACCCCAATGATGGAGTCCCTAAAATAGCCATCTGTTATTTTGTTCCATTACTCTTAATTGCTTGCCTTTTAGGACCCAGCTAAGACTAACAGGCCCTTAGGAGTTTTTAAAACTGAATAATACACTTAGGAAAAAAAAGTCACCAGTTTGTTCTCCAGAAATAAGTGTATAAATATGTGAAAAGGGCGAGTAAACTCTGCATGCCCTTTTGGGAGAGATATGGGGAAAGCTACTGCTAGCATTCTGTCCCTTCACTCAGAACATGTTGGTACTGAAGGTTGGCCTGGTGCTCAGGGCCCAACACTCCTGTTGGGAGTTGAGATCTGGCAGCTGTGCAGGGGTGCCTGCTACTTCACCTATTTTAGGCAGTTCTGGGAGTGGGCCTGGAATTGCCCTCTGCCTTTTGAAACATCCTCCCTGCTTCTGGTTTCCCAGACCAACAGGGAGGCTACTTTGTCACCAAGGAGCTGACTCACCTTCCAGTTGGAACTAATGCTACAAGCTGTCATTTAATGGTAGCCAGTTGCTAGACCTCAAATGGGCTGACTTGTTGGAAAGTTAGGAAAAAATGTAGGAGGAAATAATCCAGGAAATGAGGTTGAATCTTCATATCCAGGTGAGAGACACTCAGAGAGGTCAGTTAAAATGTAGCCTTGTAAAGCTGGGTGTGGTGGTGCACGCCTGTAATCCCAGCACCTGGGAGGCTGAGGCAGGAGTATCTCTGCAAGTTCAAGGCCAGCCTGGACTAGACAGTGAATTCAAGGGCAGCCTGAACTACAAAGTGAGACCCTGTCTCAAAAACAAAAAACAACAACCAAAAAGTAGCATTAAACTCTCAGCATGTCCTCTTAATCAGAATGGGACATGGGAGCAAGGACCAGCCTTGATCCAGGCTAACTAAGCCTCTGTTTGGACACACTCTGCAGTCATGGCAGCCTTTGGACAGACAGTACCCTTTTCAGAGTTAACTGAGTACGTAGTACAAGTTATTTGCCAGTGCTATCTATCAGATGACAAGGAGAGTGGAGCCAAAAAGGAATTGATTTGGGAAGGCCCAGGGAATTTGAGACTGTTGAGATGAACACTTCAGGCTTCTGCTATACTGATTTATAGTGTGCTGGGAATTGCAGAAACCTTTGACCACATCTTTGAGTTGTTCTTCAAAAACATAATCTCTGCTGCTGGTGCTGCTGCTGCTTGTATCTTTTGAAGGGAAGAAAGGAGGGAAAATTAGCAAACAGCTATTTTTCTGTTGTACCCCTTGCTCATTCAAGTTTCTGAATAGTCAGAATACCAACATGTTGATCTCTTTCCTGGCATTTAGTATATTTTAGATCAGTGTTCTTCCAGCTCTACCCTTGTTTTCTTTACTCTGCGATGTCTATATTCTCAGCAGTCACACTGAACTCCCTTCCCTCAGTTTCCTTCCGTTCCCTTTATTTATGTATTTAGTTTACAGACTAACATAACACTCATGTTACCTTGTTTAAGACTTTTCCTCTCCTTTTCTTTTTTCATGGAAATAAGAGAGGCATGTGATAGCAAGTTGGTAATTCAATGGCTGAGGGAACTGAAATACTGACCTATTAAAGGATAGATGGAAGTCTCTACTTGAGCAGATACAAATACCGTCATCCATGCAAGTGTGAAAGAAGTCTTTATTGCATGGGTAGTTTGAGAGCCCAAGATTAGTCTCTTTTAGGAC